AAGTGGTATTAATTCAGTTCATATACCAATGGTATGCCATATAATTATAATGGAAAACAATTAATTTATAATGTTATTCTATGGGATATTCTTTAGTTATAATTTTATAGTTATGTGTATATGATAAGTGTTTTATTCTGGAGAGTCCTCACAAATTGCTAAATTATGAATCAAATTAACCCAACAGTTAACTAAATTTAGTTAATTAATCACAAAATTAACTAAATTGTGAAATAAATAAACAAATTTTGATCATAATTTAGTCAATTTTGTACATTTTAAAGTTAATTTAACGCACAATTAAATTAATTTAGTTACCAAAATAGTTAATCTAACAAATAATTAAGTTATTTTCATTCATAATTATCTAAATTTAGTTAAGAATTAAGTATTTACCTATTAATTAACTATTTCGGTAACTAAATTAACTTAATTGTGCGTTAACTTAACAAAAAAAATTAAATTAACTTACTGATGTATAAAATTGACTAAATTATGAACAAAATTTGTTTACTTATTTCACAATTTAGTTAATTTTGTGAACAATTAACTAAACTTAGTTAACTATTGGGCTAATTTAATTCGTAATTTAGTAATTATTAATGAAATACAATTTTTATACACGTATTTGTCGCACTGTATATTGTATTCCTTATCAGTTTTTGTATAAATTAGAATAGATATATGCGAGAGGGCTAAGATGAACCCGTGTATGCAGAATGTGGGGAGTTTGGAAAAAATAACTCCTCCAATATGTGGGCTAGGTGATGAACACAAATATCCCGCGAATTAATGCCAACACTTTCGGAGACATTACTTTCAAAAGTTTTGCAATTTTTTCCGATCACTCATTGAAAGTGATTGATGTGAACGCCTTTAAAGGATTAAATAGCTTGGTTAGTTTAACCATCTCTAACATATCAAACCTGGATTATAATTCAAAAACTGGTACTGATCTGTTTGGCGTAATTAGAAATATCCCAAACATTAACTATATTTGGCTAAATAATATAAAGTTAACACAAATCCGGAACAATTCATTCAATGGATTAAATAACTTAAAAAGTATTTACATTTCGGACATAAGTTTGAGATTAATTGATGAAAACACTTTTTATGGATTAAAATCATTGACACAATTAGTAATTAGTAGGACTAGTATTACACGTATACCGGAAAATGTACTGACATTCAGTGCCACAACCGATACATTATTACTGGATTTCATAGACAATGTATATCTGAATAGTTCCTCATTTGATGGCCAATCGCTCAGTCATTTCGGACGACCCGTCGATTTAAAGGTTATGAAAACCCCATCACTTGAAGAGAGACGAAATGGGACGGTATGGACACAAATGTGGAGTATTTTGGATGAGAAGGCATTCAAAGGATTTTTCACATCCCATGCCAACAATACTTTGCGTATTATTTATGATTACATTGATTGCAATGATAGCCGCAACCAATGGATTCGAAAGAATTCTGGTGTACTGACCACTGACCAGGGTATATGATATGTCCAGTTATATTGAACACATTAAATGCTAAAAATTTTCATAATTATTGATTTTAAATACAGAACATTAACAGTTAAATAATTTTTCAGCTATTGAATTTAAAATTTATTATTTATCCCCGATATTATGTATTAAATTGTGCTATTTTTTGAACGCAATTATAAACATAACTTAACTCTTCTAAGCAAACTGTACCTAATAAATATATAATAAAATATATTTATATTATAAATCATAAAATTGCTAATTTAAATCTTGATTATTAATTAAATTAATAACAAAAATCAAACATACAATAAACCTTGATCTAACCATACCTCTATGCTAACAATCCTTAATTACAAATAATAGGAATTATTCAGCAATTATAATAAACTGAGTTTTAGTGCTTAAAAAATATTATAAAAATATTTCAAAAGTGTTTGTCATTTCTTTTATTAAATTATTTTTAAAAAATGTTTAATTATTGAATTGCTTAAATTAAGAAAAGGGGTTAAACTCTAACAATGATAGAAATGTCTGAAATAATTGCCGACAATAGAGATGAGAGTCCGGGAGAGACCATACATTCGGTGTGTATTTCGTGGACTAATATCCAAGTGTTAACTAAAACAAAGAAATCGATTTATAATTGTTTTCAAACCAATGAAACACCGAAAGAGATCCTAAGGAACGGTATTAACTATTTATAATGTCTAACATACATTTATTTTTAAAATAATTACATGACTTTTAATAAATAGTATCAGGTGGAGTTAAAGCTGGAGGCATGTTGGCTATAATGGGCTCTAGGTTTGAATAAAAACTAATTATTATTTTTGAATTAAATTATATTTTGATTTATTATATATACAGTTATATATAAGTATTATATAAGTTAAATCATTTCTAGAATGCACTAATTTGTTTAGTTGTTAACTATTTGAATATTTTATACTATTATATACCATTACTCTAATATGCTGTACAGTATACCAGTACATATTTCTTATTTATTTTTCATTAAAAAAATATTCAATTAAATGATTGTGTGATTCAGTGGCTCCGGAAAGACTACTCTATTGAATGTATTGACGGCAAGGAATTTATCGCAGCTGTCCGTCAATGGAGTGGTACTCATGAATGGACAGACAGTCAGTCAACAGACCATTGCATCCATTTCCTCGTATATACAACAACATGATTTGTTTCAACCGATGTTTACAGTCAGAGAACACCTATTATTTCAGGTATTTATCATTGAATTTGAAATTATATGTATTATTAATAATAGAATTATTTGTTAATTTAATAATTTAATTCATATTTGAAGGCATTATTACGAATGGATAGGAATTTGAGTAGAAATGAGAGAATCGATTGCATTCAACGAGTCATTCAAAAGGTTTAGAAAAAAATATTTATTTTAAATTAATTAAAATCTTTTACATTTAGTTTGATTTAACGAAATGTGCGGAAACACGGATTGGAGACAACAAACAATTTAAAGGCATTTCCGGCGGAGAAATGAAAAGACTGTCCTTTGCTTCAGAGGTTCTCACAAACCCTTCGCTAATGTTTTGGTCAGAAATACAACGAAAATATAATTGTCTTTTAATTCATATACTAATCATATGTTTGAATGGATTAGTGATGAGCCGACCACTGGTTTGGACTCATTTATGGCCAAAAGTATAGTACAAGTGCTGAAGACTATGGCATCGGAGGGACGGACTGTCGTCTGTACTATACATCAGCCCTCGTCTCCAGTCTTTGAACTCTTCGACAGTCTATTACTTATGGCCGACGGAAGGGTAGCTTTCATGGGGTCCATCGGTATTAAAACTTTTATATAAATTTATTATAAATGTATAATAATTTCATTGCATTTATAGGTGAAGTTAAAGATTATTTTTCATCTCAAGGATTAGTAATATAAATATTATAATAATATTTATTTAATTAAAAATAAAAACTTAAATTTATTCAATAGGTTTGTCCGAAAACCTACAATCCATCGGATTATTATTTACGGGAATTGGGTTTGTTTTACTCATATGTCTAATAAATTTCAATCACTTTATATGATTTATTTCAAAAAAGCAATAATGGATAGTAATTATGCGCAAACAAAAAGCAAAGTCAATGTAATATTTCAAAATGCATTCAACCAGTTATTTATATTTATATTTAAATTGTCTTTATATATATTTAGGAAATATGCGACAATTATCTCGAATGGACTGCAAATAAAGTTTACTCTGGATATAATGTGGATAATATGTGTGCATTAAACATGGAAACCCTGGGGTCGGGCTATAGGGCCAGTTATTGGCAACAACTGGTTACTATATTATGGCGATCATATATTGTTTTCATACGAAATCCCAGTTTGATACGAGATCATCTCATTATGATTATGGTTATGATTTAAAAATTAATAAACCATTACTGTAATTTATACAAATTTTTCAATTATGCAAATGTGTTTTCCACGCAGTGTTTAGTGATATTATTTGGGATTCTGTACTACGGACAGGGATACGACTACTCCAACGTCGATAATATCACCGGGGCTCTCAATATGATATTAATGAGAAATATGGTATCGCATTCAATGATCGCACTCACTGTAAGTATTGTTATTTTATATTAAGCTTATTACAATTGTTTATTAATATCTCAATAACATTTACAATTACATTTGGTGACAATTTGTTTTTTGCATTTAAATTGGCAAATATTTTAAATATTTGCACAATATCTATATTACGTATATTGTTAATTTTTAAATACAGTAGATATTTGAAAATTTATAAAATCAATTTAATATTATAGACATTAATAGGAGAGGAAGCCTTACTTTGTAGGGAACACCACAACCGTACGTACGCTGTGTTCCCTTACATATTGGCCACGATTATTATACAGGTAAAGTTTATGTATTTATTTATTATGCTTAATATATTATCAATATTATATAATTAATTTTACTAAATATCAACAAACATTATTAACAAATTATCTATATTAGTTTCAAGAAAACAAAATAAATGTGAAAAATATTGCTTTAATGTGGAGAAAACGTGATTTGTTATATTATTTTTAACATTCGTTTTCTTAAAACGATATAAATATATTGTATATGAGAGTGAAAACAACTTAACCAGTTAAACTATATATTTACTTGCACAGTTGTCTTTAAATGCAATACTGACTAGTATCTTTGTAACGATTTTGTATTTCATCGTTGGCTTATATCTGAGTGCACAAGCATTTTTCATTTACCTTGGTGTTCAAATTTTGGTCACGATTTGTGCCTGGAATATCGGTAATAAATTATTATTAATATCTATATAATTTAGAAAATGAAATTCTACTTGAACTTTAAAGTAGGTATACACTTACTAGTGTGGTAAGTTACTAGTAAAGTATTGTATAGACTTACATTTTATTATTAAGTTAATTTAATATGTAGTTTGATTATTCATATAATAAAAATTTAATTTTAAATATAAATATTTTTAATTATACATTATAAAAATATAATATAATTTTTTAGAAATCATAAAGTTAGATGTCTTAGTTAAATAAAATTGTTTAAATAATAATTATTAATTGTTTATTGAAATTAAAATAAATATAGGATTCTTAATTTCTACACTAAGCCGGGACTTTATGACAGCCAATGAAATACTGACATCACTTATCATACCATTGTATGTATTGGGAGGATATTTCATCAACATCGGGTAATTTATTTAATATTGTAAATTAAGTTGGACAATAAATTATATTTTATGATCAATTATTTAGCACACTACCAAGGTGGTTAGATTGGTTGCAGTACTTGTCATTTCCATATTACGGATACCAATCATTGGTTGTAAACGAGTGGCGAAATGTGGGAAACATGTCGTCCGACACCACAAACACCACTCAATCGACGACTAC